AATGGTATTTACATCGGGGACTGTCGTGGCCTTTTTCATGCTGAAGTAAATTGTGAACAGAGTTGATGAAAGAACAGAACTTTATTTCATCCTATTGATTACTAGGAAGGACTTTGAGAGGGTATCGCTATATCTGACTTGGCAGCGTTGATTCTCATGTAATAGCATGATTATTTTCAGGAACTTGAGAGGACATTCTAATCGTTCCAAGATTTGCCATAGACTTTTCCTGCTCATAATGTCAATAGCTTTGGTGAAATCTGTGAAGGTTATATAGCAATCTTCATTCTGTTTCCTGCATTTCTCTTGCAGTTGTCGAAGAACAAATACCATATCTGCTGTAATCTTATTGGCTTTAGGTTACATTCTGTTTGAGATAGTTCTTCTGGGGATAGCGGATACAAATCTGTCCAGAAGTATTCTTACAAAAATTTTGCCAGCAATAGAGAACAGAGTAATAACCGGTAGAGTAGTCTGATTTTACTCCTTCTTGTTTGGCTTGACAATGATTACATCACGGAGATTTGGAGCACTACACAACGAGCTCGTGAAACTTAGCATGGAATGCTTAACTTCCACCACTCTCAGCCGCCTTGCCAGCTTTCACGTGCTATTGATGCCTTAAGATTCTTTGCAGTAATAGGGCTATATTCAATTCTGAATTGTTAAGCCTTAAAGAGGTTAGCACTGAAGAGAGTTTGGAAATGTTCAAACGATCGATTTAGGATAAAAGTTTTGTCAGTGGGAAGCGTTTGGTCATGTGCATTGAGTAGGAAACTTTGAGCATGGTGGTAGGTCCTATACATAGCTTTCAGAGAGTCATAAAATTCTCCGCGGTCACGCACAATTGAATCTTTTCTACTAGATTAATCCATCACTTCTCTGAATGTCTCAAATTTCTTTGGAGATTACGTGCAAAGCGAAAGGCTACTTTTTTTACATGGTCAGATGGCTGAGTGTGGTATGCTTGAGCAGTTCTTTCTTTGTCAACATTTTTTGGATCGCTTAATTTTCTTTATTAGGTGATACAAATGCAGCATGTTTTGTTTTATAAACGTTAATCTTTCTAAATTGGGTATGAGATGCATATACATAGCAAAAAAAAAGGAAGTATTGTTGTTCGAATATAAGAGATGCAACCACTTCAAATTCATAATCATTTCAGCTTTTTAAATCATAACCACCGTTTTATCAAAAGCGAAGAAAGTTATTTGGGGGCATAAAATGACCATCCTTTGATAGGGTTTGAAAAATTCTTTTCTAAATAATCAAACACATGTATCTCCGATATTTGAATATCAGTTACCATCCCATCAAAAGAATTTGGAGAGAATTAAGGAAATTGTTGACTTTATTTAACATCGGCAAATTAGAAATTAACCACTTACAAGCACCATGTGAATTGTCTTCTTCAAAACTGAAATTTGATAAATTAAAATTTCATGCAAATCAAATTTTTGCGACATAATACAATACTTTATTATTTTATAGTAACTTTTTGAATTTTGCAAATTCAAGATGACAAATTCTACGTTTTTCACCTCCGGTTATATGCGGATCAGCGAGATTAAGTCAGATATGGCAATGCACCTTTTGAGCTCTTCCCAATAATTAATGGTGTGAAAGAAGATTGTGTCCTTGCACCAACTCTATTCACAATTTCCAAATTTTTTATTTTATAAAAATTATCCAGGTATGCAAAAAATGTATTGGTGATGAAAAGTGACATTCGTGAAGGTTGAAAGGGTAGTGGAGTAAATAATATAAATAAATATAGATTAAGCTAATTTTTAAAAAGAGTCGAGCAAGAATGGAATGATTTTAGAAAATAGTGAAAGTTATCTTGACATAATCTCAATATTCATAATGATTTTTAGACGATTACCTCAAAAGCTTGAGCCAAAACAGAAAGCAAATAAAGTCAGATAACATTCAATCTAAGAGCCTGTAATTATAAGATCCAAATGGATTGATGTGGTGAATTTCTTGCC